CACATTTACTGATGGATAGATGATTGACAGTCATCCCGGGGCTGAGTCTTCCCATCTTGATCCCCTCCAAACGCTCTCTGATTGCTTTCCGACAACAAACAATCCCTGATGATGGAGAATTATCCCAACACAGCCACTGGGTTTTGTAAGCATAAATAAATAGCATGTGTAAGAAAACTAGTGTGACTTCAAAACAAAGGCCCCTTTTTTGTGAATGTACTGTCATCTATCTATCTATCTATCTATCTATCTATCTATCTATCCCTGTGTGTGTGTATATATAATCTTCAAGTTCATTTTAAATTTTACATTTATTTTATTTTTGCATAGAACATGGCACAAACATGATCGATAGTAATTGCCTTAGCAAACACCACTAATTACCAGCAAATATTATGTCTTTTGATTCATTTCCTATGGCACTGGAAGTCCTCTGTGTTTTAGTAATGGTAGAATGTTGTTCCAGCAGAAAGGGTTTTATTAGAACCCGCAGGGAGCATTCGGCGTGTCATAATTTCTCGGTGTGTGGATATGTTCCTTTATTCATCGAGTAAATCAAATCTCTCGTTTCTAGTGGAACAGCAGTGTTTTAGCTGTAGTTGGCCATACTCAATATGCTTGTCCTGAATTGCATTTCACAGCAAGACTGTACAAATATGCTCAAGCATAGTCGTGGGTCAACAAATATAAATCATGATTTGCTCCTTTGATCTGAATATGTTCATGAATTTTTATATATTGAACTTGCATGAGGTCGATGGACCCAGGCAATATTTTAAGAGAGCTCGCTGCAGGATGAAATATCCATCTTTGTTTGATTTGCATATACAGTGATTCAGTGTTAATCTTTTCAGTGAAACTACTGAAATTCTTGTTGCAGTTTAAGTATTATTTATTTATATTTTCATTTATATTTTATACAGAAAGCATTCAGTTGATCAAACGTGACAGTAAAGACATTCATCATGTCATTTATTATCACAGGAATAAATTACATATTATAATAGAAAATATTATTTGCAAATAAATAAAATCATATATAAAAATGTACATATAGAATATGATATATAATTATAATTATCACATTGTCATAATGTGATAATTATGCATGATACATATTAAATATATATATATATATATATATATATACACACAATTGTATTAATACTTTCAAGTATTACTATATACTGTA